TGGCTTAAATAAGAGAGATGCTTCTTGCCCTCTGTTGTGAAACGAACTTGGAATTGTGTAGCCCAGGGACCAGGCTCAGGGCCACTGGGACCCAGGCTCCCTCGGCCTTGCTGTGTCACCTGAAGCCATCAGCTCATGGTCCAAATTGGTTGCCCACCTCCAGCCTTCATGTCCATACTCCAGGCAGCAGGAAGAAGGAAGTTTTGGAAAAGGACCAAAAAGGGGGTGCACCTGGAGGGTGCTGGGCCTCATTCTGTGCCTGGTCAGTCCTGCTCACCAGTCAGGTTCAGCTCCCTTAATCCATGCATCTCCTTCCCATGACAATGGGTGGTTATTTGTACGATAACCATTTGTTGCATACAGTCGGCCCCCCATGTCCACGAGGGTTGGTTCCAGGAAACCCCTGGCCATGCAAATACCAAAATCTGTGGATGCTCAAGTCCTTTATATAAAATGGCATAGTATTTGCACATAACCTACGCACATCTTCCCATATGCTTTATTTTTTATTTTATTTTATTTTTGGGATGGAGTCTCACTCTGTCACCCAGACGCTGGAGTGCAGTGGTACCATCTCGGCTTACTGCAACCTCTGCCTCCCGGGTTCAGGTTTACAAGTGATTCTCCTGCCTCAGCGTCCTGAGTAGCTGGGATTACAGGCGTCTGCCACCACGTCTGGCTACGTTTTTGTATAGGTAGTAGAGACAGAGTTTTGGCATGTTGGCCAGGCTAGTCTCGAACTCCTGACCTCAAGTGATCTGCCCGCCTCGGCCTCCCAAAGTGTGATTACAGTCATGAGCCACTGCGCCCGCCCCTCCCACATGTTTAAATCATCTCTAGATTACTTATAATACTGAGTATAATGTAAATGCTACATAAATGGTTGTTGTACTATATTGTTTAGGAAATAATGACGAGGAAAAAAGTCTGTAGTGTTCAGTACAGACAAACCCGTCCTGGGCCTACCTGCAAGGACCCAGTCCACAGTGGGTTGAACCCGCAGCCAGGGAACCCACAGATCCAGACGGCCAACTGTATTGGGTCTCTGTGAGGGTCTAACTCCGTGAGCACAGGGACCCTGCTGCTGATTTCGCCGCTGCAGCTCCACTGCCAGGGAATGCACGGTTGAGCTCCCATGCAGTGGGCATGGCCCAGGTGACCCTTGACCCTTGCTTGAGTTCTCAGCTTCAGGGCGGTTTTTCCTGGCGGTGGACAGGGCTTCTAAGGAGGATGGGCTGGCTCGAAGGCAGCGGGGGACATTAGGCTTTCGGCTTGATTTCCATTACTCTAATGGTGACCCACTTTGTCTGCCGCACACTGGGCTATCTTCAAGATGACAGGTTGACAATGACCGCCATTGGGTCGTTACTGAGCAAAGAGCCATTAACACACTGGCTGTGGTTCCAGCACAGCTTGTGCCGGGAGGCAGGTGTCTGTCATTCCAGGTGCGCTGGCCTCATTTGTCCAAAGGAATCTGCCGACCTCAGGAAACCCCAGCATGCCTTCAGGCCACCGCCTTGCTTGTCTGTAGCCTTCCCGTGGTCACCGCACTTCCGGGCCAGGGCCCCAGCCAGGGTTTATACAGAGACCCACTCACCTAGACGAAGTGGGAAGCAAGACTGTGGGTGTCATCCCAAGTGGCAAAAGAACTTAGGAACCTGGAGGAAGCAGGCATGGGCATATTTATTTTGAATACATGTGTCTAATTATTCAGTGGAACTTTCTTAAATGAATTCCAAATACATGTGAAGATTTGCTTCCAGTTGCTTAATGTGTTTTTAATAAGGAGGCTCTTACCAGATAACCTACCCTGAAATTTCTTTTTCTTCCTTTCCTTTCTCTTTCCTCACTTTCCTTCCTTCTTCTCTTTTCTCCTCCTCCTCCTCTTCCTCCTCCTCCTCCTCCTCTTCCTCTTCTTCCTCCTCTTCCTCCTCCTCCTCTTCCTCCTCCTCTTCTCCTTCTCCTTCTTCCTCTTCCTCTTCTTCTTCCTCTTCCTCTTCTTCTTCCTCTTCCTCTTCTTCTTCTTCCCTCTCTCTCTCTCCTTCCCTTCCCCTCCCCTCCCCTCCCCTCCTCTCCCCTACCCTCTCCTCCCCTCCCCTCTCCTTTCCTTTCCTTTCCTTTCCTTCTTTCCAGAGTCTTGCTCTGTTGCCTATGCTGGAGTGCGTGCTTCATTGTGGCTCACTGTAGCCTCAACCTCCTGGGCTCAGGTGATCCTCCGACCTCGCCTCCTGAGCTGAGTAGCTGGGACTACAGGCGCGTGCCACTACGCTCGTCTGATTTTTAAAAAATATTTATTTATTTATTTTTAGTAGAGATGAGGTCTTGCTATGTTGCCCCGGCTGGTCTTGAACTCCTGGGCTCAAGTGATCTATCCACTCACCTCAGCTTCCCAAAGTGCTAGGATTATAGGTGTGAGCCACCGTGCCCAGCCTGAAGTTTCTTAGAAAGCAAAAAAGGAAGCAAAAAGAGTACCCAGGCCCAAATGAAGACAGCTGAAAGTTTAATGTACCTCAAATTTCAGCCCACAACTAAGGGATGAACTTTGAGTCTCTTTTTGAATCCATCTCAAGGGTTTAGGTTTAGAGTTTCTGCTCTTTTAAACAGACTAAGAACCTCTGTGACAAAGTAAATAGAGAAAATAAGTAGCCAAGCTCTGGCAAGATTCGGAAGGGGGCCTAACATGGAAGAAAGGAGAAGGTTGGAATTGATTAAGACCTGCTATGCACTGGGCTGGATTTGTTCTCAGCAGAAAGCAAGAAAGAGGTCTGGGATGGTAGCAGGGCTCCCACTACCACCGGGGGTCAAAGGTTGCAGTATTTCTCAGGTAGCCAAGAGGCACCCATGAGCCCAGCTCCTGCCCACTCCCTGATGTCATCTAGATACAAGGACATGGGGCATGAGAGGACGTCATCATCACTTCTCTGCAGAGTCACAGGAACCTGCCCTCTGCTCCTCCACCTCTCAGCTGTCTTTCTGCCCACGGCTGGAACAGACTGCCATGGCGACTCACTCTCTCCCACGCCCCCACCCTCGGCAGGAAACCACTTCAGGGCTCTGAAATCAGCCTGTGAGTCCTGGTTACGGCCTCCTGCGCCTGACTCTCCTCTCCCCAGGCTGCAAGAAATAGGGATGACCAGAAGTCAAACTGTGCCCTTGGGAACACCCCACCCCTCACCACTGTCATGCCGGAGTCTGTTCCTAAGACCCCTCCCCAAGCCCTGACTCCTCTTCTTCCTCCCACAAACCACAGCAGACACTCAGCCAGCAGGCTGCAGCCCTGCGCCTTCTCAGCAGCCTTCACCAGAGCCATTGAAAGCCCAGTTGTCGTTCCCCAGCCACGTGCCAAGACTAAAGTGTAGAGGACACGTAAGATGACACTGTCATGATCATTTGTCCTGTGCCCTGTGGATCCCAAGGTCCCGCCTGACATCAACCCATCTGATATTGAGCCCAGTGAGTGGGGAGATCCTAACACAGCCGCTGCTTTTGAGGACTTGGGTGGTGCCTGGCTGGTGGTAGGGGGAGGTCAGGCGAGTTTTCAGCAGATGACCCCCGTACTCTTCGGAAGCCCCGAGGTGCCACACTTGTACCTCCCCTGATGCCTGTGAACGGGGTGAAGGAACAGCCTGGGCCTGGGTTCTTTGCTGGGCTGTTTTTGGACTTGGCCCCAGCTCAGGAAGGGTTCATGGAGGAGCCAAGGAGGGCCTTGTTCCTGTGGGATTTCTTTGCCTTGGGCACAGGGACAGCCTCTTGCTGCTGCTCTGCCCACCGCCCAACCCTTGGCGGCCTCTGGAATTCTGGGCTGATCTCCCTCTGGACCCAACCAGTTGCCCAATGGCTGGACCTGCTCAAAGCTCCCTCTTGCAACTGGACCGGGGAGCCAGGGGAGGCGCTGAGGCTGAGCTTCTGAGCTGGTGCCTGTGGATGTAGGACGGTCCCGCAGCTCCCACACTGGGATGGCCAAGCAGCCCATGAGACCCACATTCCCCTTTTAGCAAAACAGGAGGGAGGTCGCTGGGCACAGGGAGCCGGGAACGCCTGTCCTCCCCACCATCGACGGCTCTCGAGGCCGGAGCCTTCGCTCCAGCCCCAGCACAAGCCAGCCAGGGCGCAGGGCCAGGTGCTGCCCGCCATTCCCCAGGTGCCCCTGGACCTCCCAGCTGGGGCTGGCTCGGACTGATGGATCATCCCTGCCGGTTACCCTCTGGGGTCTCCAGTGCCGCGGAGTTCAGCCAGCTCTTGCAGCGGTGGGGGCTGGGAGGAGAAGCTGCAGGGAGCCCCCAGGCACGGGACGTTGTGGGGGGTCGTCAGGCCTGCTCTGGGGCTAGGACCCCGGGGGGAGCAACGGGGGTTGGCGCTCTCCACCACAGCGGTGACCTGGGCCGCGGGTCTCGGGGCTCTCACGCGGGGCGATGGGGCTCTGTCTTTCGGGGTTGGGGTCTCTTCCGCCGGGTTTGGGGTTCTCTCTGCGGATCTGGGGAGTCTCTCCCGCGGGATGAGGGGGGCTGTCCGCCGCTCCCGCCTGTGATGGCCCAGAGGACCCGAGCTCCGGTCACTCCCGCCCCCCTTGGGGCTCGGGGAGGGCGCGGGAGGCAGGCGCTGAGCCGGTGACGCGGCTCCGGGCGGCTCCGGGCGCTCCGCATAAATAGCAGCGGCGGCTGTAGCGGCGGCCACCCCGGGCGGCGGACACGTGGAGGGACCCGGCCCGCGCCTCCCGCCCCTGCCGCCGGCCGCGCCATGCGGTGAGCGCCCCAGGCAACCAGAGCACACTTGACCCGGCCCGACGCCCGGACCCGCCGCCCCGAGACCCCGACGCCCCGGGACCCCGCCGCCGCCCCGGGACCCCGCCGCCCCGGACCCCGCCGCCGCCCCGGACCCGCCGCCGCCCCGAGACTCCGACGCCCCGGCCCAGGGCGCAGCCGCAGCTCAAGGTACTGGCGCCGGGCCGACCCCGCCCCGCCCGGAGGCCTCCCCTTCCGCTCTCCTCTGCCCCGGGACGATTCCACCAGGGGCCCCGGCCCGGCCGCCGCCTCTGCTCCTCCCTGCAGCCCCCCGGCACCCCATGCCTCGGGGCGCAGCCCACTCCGGGTTCCGACCCTCCTGCCCTGTCCTTCCCTTCCAGATGGCCCGAGGCAGCGCCCTCCTGCTCGCCTCCCTCCTCCTCGCCGCGGCCCTTTCTGCCTCTGCGGGGCTCTGGTCGCCGGTAAGTGCGGGGCGCGTCTCCTCCGGGCGAAGCGGGCATCAGAGCCGGCCGGGCGTGGAGGGCTTCCTGGAGGAGGCGGCCTCCGCCCTGCCCTCGGGGACAGTGGTAGAAAGGCTAGTGCGGGCGCTGTCCTGGCCACGGGCGTCGCGAGAAGGGTCCGGAGCGCCCTGGGATTCCCCCGCGCGCTTCTCCGAGTTCATCAACAGCACCGGGCTATAACCAGGCCGCCGGGAGAGTGCTGCGCTTCGGGAAAGCGAGAAGCTCCCCGTTCCGCAGGGCTTAGTTAGAACAGAGGGCGAGGAGCCACCGGCGTGGCCTCAGAGTCACTTAAAGCGGGTGCAGTGCGCTGAGAATGCGCGAGCTGCGACCCGCAAGTGAAGTATCTCCCATATGTCAAATACGGCTTACTTAGGGGTAAACCTGGAATTTCGCGAGCTATCCAAAAGCACATGCATTGTTCTAAGTCCTCTGCCGTGCCGGAAAGCCTGGGTGCACCCATTCAGCATCGGCTCCAGGCACAGCCCTGGCATCTGACCCCCTTTTCTCCCCTCAAGGCCAAGGAAAAACGAGGCTGGACCCTGAACAGCGCGGGCTACCTGCTGGGCCCACGTAAGTGACTGACAGCATGGCCTCCCCACTCCTGACCCCACCTGCCCCCTCGCTTTGAACCCTGGCTCCTGCCCCTCCGCCTGCGGCTGGGCAGACCTTCCGGCCTCCCTCTTGACCTCATTGCCCGTCTCCATTGGCCTGCACACTTGATCTGTGCACGGTTCTTTCCAGAAGCTTCTCCTACCCCGGCTCTGCCGCCCTGTCCCGGTGTGAGATTCCTACCCTGGGCTTTGCTCAAGCTCTCCTCGGTTTTCCCGCGTTGCAGTCCTTAGAGGCCCTGTTCTGGGCCTCTCCCCAGGCCCCCGGTCTCCCCAAACACTCAACTCGGCTTGTAGAGCACCCTAGGTCAGCGGACCCCAAGTCTTGCCTCCTCCTTCCCTTTCTCCAAGCTCCACACGGGAATTGCCAGATCGCCTGAAGGCAGCTCAGACAGGCTGTCCTCAAAACGAGGTTCAGGTGACCCTGACTGCCCAAGCCTGTGTCCCCTCCCTCTCCCTCTCCCTGTCCTGTTGTTGTCATCCGTGTCAGCGGTGTCCCGTGCTGCCTGAGGTGAGCCCTAGCCCTAGATAGGACTCTGCAGGCTGACACCTCCCCATGTCCGCCCCCACCAGTGCCCCAGGCCTCTACTTTCTCCACATCCTTGGTCTGTGCAGCAATGCCTTCAGACCTTCCTTCAAAGGAGGGGACAAGAGGAGGCCTTGGCTCCCTTCTGTAACTCACCTTCCCCTCCACCCCTCCCATCCACCTTAAAAGCCTCCCTGCATTGTCTTCTGCCAGAGGAAGGATGCAAACAGCCTGCAGGGCCTATCTGAGCCCCGCCAGAGCAGCAAATGAGGAGACCCTTTCCGAGGGCCTTGGAAAGCACAGCGCGGCCTCAGGCTCTTCTCCCCATGCCAAGGAAAGCTGCCTTTGTTCTCAGTCCCGGAGTCGAATACAGCTTCCTCTTCCCGCAGACACTTGTTCATCAGGGTCACTCGGATGACCCCCAGAGTCAGGTTTTAAGAAACAGACACGGGGATGAGAGAGCTGCCTGAGGCCGCGTGCGGGGTGGACCAGGCTGTTCACCGCAGGGCCTCCTGGTCTCTCTGCACGGCCCTCTCCTCCTCTCCCTGCCGGTGGAGCGGCCTGACCTGCCTGAGGCTGATCTCCTCAACCCTTTGCAACCCTGAGCTCTGCCTCTCAGAGGGCACCTCAACTTTGTGTGCTACGGGCCCAAACAAAGGAGGAACTGGTCAACAAGAACATTTATCTGTGTTGCTTTGGAATATTGAAAATCTATGTGTCAAGAAGAGTTTGAACCCTAATTAGAAAACAAACCCATTTTCGCCATCAATTTTATGGCCCGGTTCAGCTGTAGCTAGACCTGTTGTTTGTCAAAGTACTTAACAGTGTGCCTCTGATTTCTAGGGTCAGCTAGAAAATGCAGTAAAATCAATGTTTTTTCACCAGCTGCTGCTGAATGCAGTGTGGCCGTGGCTGAAGGTTCATCAGTGAGATGGGGCGCCCTACGGCTCCTCTATAAATTTAACACCAAGAACGACATCTCTGGAAATAGGAGTTAATTTTCCTTTGTCTGGCCTTGTAGATGGCACGGTCCACCCAGGCCGACCAGCCGGAAACGCGGAGGCGTCCTCATCCTCCTCCCCATCTCTCATTCCCATTTCCTTTCCTGCACAGCCCCAAATGCAGCCCTTCTCCTCACCCCACGCCCCGTGGTTTACAGCTGTCATCGTTTCTTCCCTGGACTTCTGGGATCTCTGCTTGCAATCACAGTTCCCCCATTTTCGCACCACAACACACACACACACGAACACACACAAACGAACGAACGCACACATGCCCCCGCACCTCCTTTTCTCCCCCCGCCATCCTCTCTCTCTCCCTCTGTGACCCTCTCGCTCCCTCTGTCTCTCCTTCTGTCTCCCTGGCTCCAGTCCGTCTTGCACACAGCTGCCAGAGTGAAAATAAAAATCGGATTCAGTCACAACTTAAACTCTTCAGTGGCCCCCATGCTTTCAGGGACATGAGGATCCAGCCCCTGTTGTCTGCCAGGGAGGCACCCAGTTTGATGCCAGCTCAGTGCCAGCTGAGATGTCAGCTCCTCTGGACCCGGGCACAACCCCTGCAACAGGGCAGATTCCCGGCCTCTCCCGCCCTTCAGGAGACACACCTCCCTTTCTCCCACCCCTCCTGTGCAAACCCTCACATTCCCTTTGGCCTTGGTGCAAGCAGCCAAGTCTTACCTCAGCTTGGTGGAGAATCGCCCCCTCTTCTCTGGGGTCTGTCCCTGGGCTCTATTTCACAGTCAAGTTGTGTGTGTGTGTTGGCTACAGGCAGCCCTGTGTCCTTCTTTGGGTGTGGGGAGGGGGTGCATGACAGTCACACCCAGAGGCTTTCCTCTCTGATCTGCAAACAGATGCTGTTGGCAACCACAGGTCATTCAGCGACAAGAATGGCCTCACCAGCAAGCGGGAGCTGCAGCCCCAAGACGACGTGAAACCAGGTGAGAGGACTCCTATCCCGGGCTCCCGGGCGCCTCACTTCCAGCAGCTCCCAGGTGCATGCAGTGGGGGAGAGCTGTGGGTGTCGGGACACCTGCCACCCATCTGTCCACAGCTGCAGCCCAAGCCTGGCCATGACTTAAGAGGATGTGGCCTCGCCACACCTGTCAGCAGCTGCAAACACAATCTGCAAACCCGAGACAGCAAGGAGTCCTTCTAGACTGGGAGGCTGCCTGGGCACCAGGGCCTCCAGAAGAGTGGGGCCGGGCGCGGTGGCTCACACCCGTAATCCCAGCACTTTGGGAGGCCGAGGCGGGTGATCACCTGAGGTCGGGAGTTCAAGATTGGCCTAGCCAACATGGCAAAACCCTGGCTCTACTAAAAATATAAAAATTAGCCGGGTGTGGTGATGGGTGCCTGTAGTCCCAGCTACTTGGGAGGCTGAGGCACGAGAATCACTTGAACATGGGAGGCGGAGGTTGCCGTGAGCTGAGATCGCAATACTGCATTCCAGCCTAGGCAACAGAGTGAAACTCCATCTCAATTAAAAAAAAAAAAAAAAAAGAAGGCCGGGCGCGGTGGCTCACGCTTGTAATCCCAGCACTTTGGGAGGCCGAGGCGGGCGGATCATGAGGTCAGGAGATCAAGACTATCCTGGCTAACACGGTGAAACCCCTTCTTTACTAAAACCACAAAAAATTAGCCAGGCATGGTGGCGGGCGCCTGTAGTCCCAGCTATTCGGGAGGCTGAGGCAGGAGAATGGCATGAACCTGGGAGGCGGAGCTTGCAGTGAGCCGAGATCACGCCACTGCACTCCAGTCTGGGCAATAGAGCGAGACTCCGTCTCAAAAAAAAAAAAAAAAGAAGAGCGAGGCCTTGAACTGGATCTCTCCCCTCTCCCTCACATTGAACAAGGGCATTGGAAAGCACAGCCGGGCCTCAGGCTGCTGGGATCAGATCATTGACCTCACAGCGCCCAGCTCCTCTGTCGGGGGGGATGACCGGAGACAGAGAAGCACCCTCTGCACAAGTCGTGAATGTTGATCTTTTCTCTTTTCTAGGAAGCTTTGACAGGTCCATGCCTGAGAACAATATCATGCGCACAATCATTGAGTTTCTGTCTTTCTTGCATCTCAAAGGTATGTGAAATATCACCAACTTAACATTCATCTCTTAGCACACTGGAAACATAAAAGGCCCATCGAGAAGAGAACCCGTAGAATCCCCCTGGGAAGTAGCCGGTTATTTATCTAAATACAAAGTCCTGTTTGGCTGTGCATCAGGATGACAGAGCATGTGACACTAGAGCTAGCTCCAGAGGGCTGGGATTGTGGCAGGGGCATTCCACTGTCTGTGGACGGCCATCGGGCCAGCGCTGCTCCCAGGAAGAGGGTGGGCCTTAGGATGCAGCTCACTCTACTGGAACCATATCTATTCATACGGTAACAACTGCTGGACCTTTTAGGGCACAGGTATACTATAGGCCAGGTTCTTTGTGAGCCGTCCTAAACCTTCTTTTCTCTTTTCTTTTTTCTTTCTTTCTCTGTCTTTTCTCTTTTCTTTCTTTCTTCTCTTTCTTTTCCTTTTCCCCTTCCTTCCATCCTTCCTTCTCTTTCTTTCTCTCTTTCTCCCTCCCTCCCTCCCTCCCTCCCTCCCTCCCTGCCTTCCTTCCTCCCTCCCTCCCTTCCTTCCTTCCTTTCGTCTCACTCTGTCGCCCAGGCTCGAGTGCAATGGTGCAATCTCAGCTCACTGCAGCCTCTGCCTCCTGGGCTCAAGTGATTCTCATGCCTCAGCCTCCCAAGTAGCTGGGACAACAGGTGCACACCATTATGCCTAATTTTTTAATTTTTAGTAGAGGTGGAGGTTCATCATGTTGGCCAGGCTGGTCTTGAACTCCTGGCCTCAAGTGATCTGTCTACCTCAGTCTCCCAAAGTGCTGGGATTACAGGCGTGAGCCACTGCGCCGGCCCTAAACCATATTTTCTAAGCAGGGAAATTAATAGGAGCCTATATCTTAGATTGCAGTGTTTTCCTATGCAGCCCTCCTGCCAGGCAGGCTGCCTTGAAATCTAACTGGAAAGGTTCTGATCCTGGCTTCCAGTGTCTTCTGCAAACACTGGGGATGAGGAGACCTCCCACACACTATGCTTGGCATTCATTCCACGATGGGCATCTGGCCTTGATCACACAGGTCCTACTGCAGCAGTGGAGGGAGCCGGAAAGTGGCCCCGGTGCTCTGAGGGTTAACAGGGAGGATGTGGTGGGGAGGAGGGATGGACCGCTTAGCCTCTACAGTGGAGACCTTTACCTGGTGCTCTGAGGGTTAACAGGGAGGCGGAGGTGGGGAGGAGGGATGGACCGCTTAGCCTGTCCAGTGGAGACCTTCACCTGGTGCTCTGAGGGTTAACAGGGAGGCGGAGGTGGGAAGGAGGGATGGACCGCTTAGCCCCTACAGTGGAGACCTTCACCCGGTGCTCTGAGGGTTAACAGGGAGGAGGAGGTGGGGAGGAGGGATGGACCGCTTAGCCTGTCCAGTGGAGACCGTCACCCGGTGCTCTGAGGGTTAACAGGGAGGAGGAGGTGGGGAAGAGGGATGGACCGCTTAGCCTGTCCAGTGGAGACCGTCACCCGGTGCTCTGAGGGTTAACAGGGAGGAGGAGGTGGAGAGGAGGGAGGGACCGCTTAGCCTGTCTAGTGGAGACCGTCACCCGGTGCTCTGAGGGTTAACAGGGAGGAGGAGGTGGAGAGGAGGGATGGACCGCTTAGCCTGTCCAGTGGAGACCGTCACCCGGTGCTCTGAGGGTTAACAGGTAGGAGGAGGTGGGGAGGAGGGATGGACCGCTTAGCCTGTCCAGTGGAGACCTTCAGTTGCGCATCACAGTTTTGTCCAGTTTGGAAAATCAAGGCTGGTCCTTGGGTTCATTTGGGATCAGGATGGTTTTCATTTGCAGTATTATGGGGCTCCTCTTTAGGTGGCAACGGGGAGAGGGAAGAGGAGTGAGGGGAGGGGAGCGGGGGAGGGAGACTGCTGGAGAAGGTCTCGGAAAAGACGGGGTTCATTAGAAATCTCAGAACCGAGTCACCAAGTTCCCTCTGTTGGAGCCCAGTGGAGCCTCTGGGAGAGAAGCTGGGGTGACTTTTCCTACAACGGGCAGATGGACTCTGCCAGATTTTTTCTCATTTGTTTTTAATTTTGTAACATGGAAACTCTTTCCTTAGGAGATACCAACTCTCATTACTCAGATAGGAATTATACCTCTTTAAAGCCTAAATTTAAAAGTCTGACAGTTTTAAATGCTTACTAACTGTGGGAGTTAAATCATTACAAAGCGAGAAATACAGTGTTGGCCCTAATTCTGGGTTTAATCTGGTAAGACTCTTTACAGAGGACGACCACACGCCGCTTCCTGTAGTATGTGTCGTGGTCGTAATTCTCTTGTGTGCGTATTAAGAAGTTGCTGCTCAAATGTGGCTCTTCCCTTTGCAGAGGCTGGGGCCTTCGACCGCCTCCCGGATCTCCCCGCCGGAGCCTCCTCAGAAGACATGGAGCGGTCCTGAGAGCCTCCTGGGCGTCTTTGTCTGTGTGTTGCAATCTAAAGTCAAACCTTAAGATGATGGATAATCTTAGGCCAATTTACACAGAGTCGGCTCTTCCTGTTCTCTTTGCCTTGATGTTGTGTTGTCACAATTTAAGAATTTTTTTTTTTTTGGTAATTATTTTATTTTGAGTGACAAAATAAAGAATAGCAATTACTTGCAATTGTCTTTTTCTTCCACACCTCTGTCTCATCACCAGTGCCACCCATGGGTTCTAAAAGATAAAGCTTGATCATAATCATGGATTAGACCCGAATTTTTAAACCCACATTCTACCATCAAGAGCATCTGAGACGCCACCTCTTATTGCATGTCCAGGGGACATAAAGTTATCTCGATATTAAGCTGAGTCAAATGTAATTATGAAGGTAAGTCTGTTTCTGAGATGAACAAAAACACAAAACAGACAAAACCCCTGCCCTCGTGGAGCTGATATTTTAGGGAGATGGGAATGAAAAAGACTACGACAACCTTAAACAGATGGGTGAGGTGCGTGGTGCTCGTGGAGGTGGTCAGGGCTGAGAAGAGAGGTTGGCTGGGTGGGAGGGCCAGGAGTGAGGGCCAGGAGCCAGGTAGGAGAGGAGAGACGGGCGGGCAGGTAGAAAGGCAAGGGCAGGAGGTGTGTGCTGAGATAGTGCTGTGTGAAGGAAGGCAGGTGGGAATGCCTCCTAACATGACAGAGACTGAGTCTTTTGAGCAGAGATAAAAAGATCATCCAGAAGTTTCGAAAAGAAGGCAGGCGGCTGGGCCGGTGGCTCATGCCTGTAATCCCAGCACTTTGAGAGGCCGAGGTGGGCAGATCACTTGAGGTCAGGAGTTTGTGACCAGCTTGGCCAACACGGTGAAACCCCATCTCTACTAAAAATACAAAAATCAGCCGGGCATGGTGTGCACGCTTGTAATCCCAGCTACTTGGGAGGCGGAGGTTGGAGAATCTTTTGCTCCTGGGAGGCGGAGGTTGCAGTGAGCCGAGATCACACTCCAGCCTGGGCGACAGAGCGAGACTCCACAGTGTGGGCGGCGGGACACAGGCCTTTCTGGATTCACCGGAGCCGGCTGTGCAGTGGGAGTGGGAGGTGGCTTCCCAGTTTCCCCCCATTGGCAGTTCGCTGCCTAATACCTGTTTCAAGGGGCACAGAGCCCCAGCATCCTTCTCCCTGCTTGGTGACCCCCCTACCCAGTCAGCTGTGCCCTGGCTCAGCTCCCTGGCTCGGCTTCCCAGCTCAGATCCCCAGCTCCACCCCGGCTCCCTCCAGCTCCTGCAGGCTCAACGCTGACACTCGGTGGCCTTGGGTCTTCAGACCACTCCCAGCCCGGAGGTAGTGATGCCACCCACCTGGTGGGCTAAACACCTGGGCCCACCCTTCACTCCCTGTTCACCATCTGCATTTATCCTCTTCCACATTTTTAAAAATCTCTTTAGTTCAACTTGGGCAGGCATCAGAACTCCTCCAGGCCCTGTCATAAGGCAGTGGCCAGGTCCCTCCCCAGGATGTTGGAGCCAGGAGGGCTGGGTGGGCTGGAGCTGGGCCCCCAGCAAGCTTCCTGCCACTGCTGCTGCTCACTAGAGGCCTGTGCCCATGTCCTCCCAAGAACTAGGGAGCTCCTGGCATGGAGGAGGCGGATGAACGGATGTGTCTGGGGACCACACCTCAGCCACTGGGCTCCAGCCCACAGTGTGCAGCCTGTCCTGTCTGGTCTTCCTGTAGCCTTTGTCCCTAAATGCAGTGGCCATGGACACCATCTCTGCCTCAGCCGGCCCCCTAATCTCCTGCACTCAGTGGTGCAGACCCCACAACTGCGGCCTGGCCTCGCTCACCTAAGGCCTTTGCACACGTCCCTCCCAAGGCTTGGGGAACTCCTAAGCATCCCATGGGATTCCACTCCAGGGTTACCTTGTCCAGAGTGCCCTTCCCGCTCCTCCGCCCCCAGCATGTGTGGTGCCACCCTAATCAGCATGCCTGTCACTCTGTTTGCAGATGTGTCTCTCCTCACTACACCGTGAGAAAGAAGTGCCTGAAGGAATTGAGATTAATGACGCTGTGCTGAGTGCTGGGCTCTCCACACTGCACGTGGCTCACGGGAGCCTTCTGAGAAGTGTTCACGAGGGGCCAAGGAGCCCAGCCTCCGTGCAGGTGTGCAGCCTCCATGCAGGGATGTGGGCCCCAGGGTCGGCAGCACAAAGCTCTCGGACTCTCCCCCTGTGGCATCATCTACCTCCTTCTCTAAACCTTGCCTTCCTTTTAGGTATAAACGGAGCGGCGCAGGTGGCAGCCGGAAGGTGAGGGAAAGGAGGTGAGGGGCCAGGAGTGGCTGTAGTGCCATTTGCTGTGCTGGACAAGGCTACAGAAGTGACGTCTTTACTTCCCAGAGAGAACGTGGTTGGAGCTGGCTGCAGCCATCCTGGATCAATCTGTTGCTAACAACAGCAGTCTTTTCAAGGGAAGGTGTTCTCCAGCCACCTTGGGAAGTAAAGAATTTATGGACAGGCCTGAGAAACACCAAGATGCCTAATGGAGAGGTGGAGAGTGTTGAGGTTGTGCACCTTGGAGGAGGTGGCTGTCTCCATCATAAAAGCTGATCAACATGAAAGCCTGTCCACCTTCCACTTGCTCTATCTAACCAGGAGCAGAGCAGATGCCAGGGTGATGCTGCCTGAGGACGTCTGGCGTGGTGGAGGCAGGTGAGTGGTGGGCCAGTGTGAGGAAGAGGCTTACATTCAGGAGGTCCCTGGAGGAAGGAGGAAAGCGCTGTTTAATGGAGGAAAGAGAGGCAGGGCACGGTGGCTCACGCCTGTAATCCCATCACTTTGGGAGAACAGCCTGGGCAACATGGTGAGACCCTGTCTGTAAAAAAGAAGTAATTAAAAAAATTTTAATTATTAAAAAACAGGAGGGAAGAGAGAGTCTTATGGGGATAAGGAAATCCTAACGCCAAAGAATTTACAGCTGATCATTTTCTAACATATGGCCCAGGAAACTTTTATTTCAATGCAAAAAAAGGGATTCTTGTACAGTTTGGAGTCAGGATTGTAAGCCTGCAATAAAATTCTAAGCTCCCTAACCGACTGAATGGATCCCTCTCTTGGCCAAGGGGACCCCAAAGAAGCCTAAGAAAATTAGGTCATGACGGGAAGGGAAGGGCCAGACATGCTCAATATGCCGCTTCCCCATGGAGTTTAGACACAGCTGACCAGGGACCAGCATTCACATTACAACAGAGATCTTGAGACTGACAAATCAGCCTCTTTTCAGCAATAAGATACCAACTTCCAGCCTGATTCTGGTATAGCACCACATGACAGATAACAAGCCCTGAAGGAAATGAAAGTAATTCAGCCCCACATATATTTCTTTGACATATTCCGAAATGGCCCTGCAAAGCTGACTCTTGTGGGGGAAATTTGCATTCTGTAGAGAATCTCCTTCCTGGTCTGACACCTTTCTAAGGTCTGGTAAGAGACATTCACTTGAATGTCTATTCTCTCCAAAGTCTGCTACCTGGAGGTTTCATCTACATAACAAGAACCTTGCCTTCCACAACCACCTGCTCCCACCTCCATCTACCTTCCCTTAATTCAAGTTGACTTCAACTCTTCAGAAGGGCTTAACTCTTTCAACCAATTGCCAATTATGAAACATTTGAATCCACCCATGACCTACAAGCTCCCTACCCTACCCCACTCATTGAGATGCTCCACCTTTCTGGGTCAAACCAATGTATACCTTATATGTATTGATTTGTGTCTTTGCCTGTAACTTGTCTCCATAGAACGTATAAAACCAAGCTGTAACTCAGCCACCTTGGGCATATATTCTTAGGACCTCCTGAGGCTGTGTCACGAGCCATGGTCCTTAACTTGGCAAAATAAACCTCTAACTTGATTGAGATCTGTCTTGATACTTTTTAGTTTATAGGATTTTATCCTGTGTTATCGTGATAAAAACTAAGATGGCTCTAGAAACCAGAAAGCTTGACGGTCTCTGATATAACTTTAAAAAAAATGATCAGTGATGTCTGCTTCCAGGAGATGGAGTAGAAGTAGAATTTTCCTTTGTCCTTTTGCTAAGTACAATTAAAAACCCTGAACATCATATATAAAGCAAACATAAGAGGACTCTGAAAGCCCAAGCAAGAGGCAGACCAGCTAGGAGCTTCAGCCTGTGGTGAGTTCCTTGGGTTTTCTTTTTGCCTCACATATCCTAGACTTGGGCTGAAGGAGCCAGCATCTTAGGAATGCCAATGGGCACAGACCACAAAAGCCCCAACAAAAGCTGCCCTCTCTAGATAAAGGACCAGGAAAGGGAAGCCTGGTAAGACAGAGAATTGTAGATAACGACCACTCTACTTCAGACAAACACCCCAGCAAACACTGTGGCTTCATCAGGCCAGCCAAGGTTGGGTGGGGAGCCTGGACTTCCTCTTAAGGCTGTGACAAGGTGGCCCAAACTCCAACCAGGGGAAAGTTGTAGGGTGCCAAGTAAAGAACCAGGACTTCATCCCCCTCAACCACCCCATCCCTGGCAGTAATAAGACCCCCCACTACAGTGTCAGCAGAGACCGCCTGGGAGCCTGGATTCCGTGCCCCTCCTCCCCCACAGTAACAGGCATTCTTCTCTCTGTGCATTGGGGTGGTGTCAGAGGAAGGCTAGTGGAGAATCGGCACTTTTGCCACCTCCCAGTGTGACAAGGCCACCCCCTTTTCCTGTGGTGTCAGCAGAGACCATGTGGAGGGATGCAGTAAGAAGGCGCTCCTACGCCTCCCAGCAAGGGAAGTATTAGTGGGGAGCTGGAACTCCTACTCCTGCCCAGCAACAATGAGGAGCAGCCCACCCATGCCCAGGTGTCAATGGAGACTGAGTGGGAAGCCTGGACTTCTGTCCCCACCGGGCAGGAATGAGGTGGCACCCCCAGCCTTTCCCCTGCCAGGGCGATATCAGAACAAGCCAGTGAAAAGAGAAGGTTCAAATAAGATCCGGAGTTTCATACCATAGCACCCAAAAAGTCCAGGTTTCAATCAAAGATCACTTATCATACCAAGAATCCAGAAGATCTCAAACTGACTGATAAAAGACCATCAATAGATGTCAATAGTGACATAGTGAGTATTAGAGTTATCGGACAAAGATTTCAAAGCAGCCATCATAAAAAAGAAGTGC